GGGGCATGAGATGGAGAGAAAGTTCCCTCATAGTCTTCCGAAGCTCATGTGGGTGTAAAGGCAGGGAGACTCAAAAAGACAGTTTTAAAAGGGACTCTCTTAGTCTTGCATAGTGGCACACACTTGGAATCCCAGCAGCCCAGGAGGCTGAAGCAGGAGGATCTTGAGTTCAAAGCCAGCCTCATCAAAAGCAAGATGCTAAGCAACTCAGTGAGACCCTGTCTCTCAATAAAATACAAAATAGGGCTGGGGATGTGGCTTAGTGGCCAAGTGCCCCTGAGTTTAATCCCTGGTACCAAAAAAAAAAAAAAAAAAAAAGGAGTTTAGGAAAAATGCAGATCTCAGGGTCCCCTCAGCCCCACAGAATCAGAATGTCTGAAGGCAAATAAACATTTGCCTCTTATCATGGGCCCAGTGGTGAGCCACACTATTGGGAGCATCTCTGCATGGGCTACACCCCACCTCTTGACCATGAGGCTTGGATAGGTCACTTCATCTCTCAGAGCCTCCACCTGAGGAGGTAACCCTGGAACCTATGCAGAGGCTTGTTTTGAGGATTAGAGTTAATTCTCAGGAGTTAATTGAGTGTTTAGTTTAATGTAGAAGCTCATCAAGCGTCCACCCAATGCCAGAGACTGAAATGCTAGATAAATGTTGACTTAGCCTGGAAACCTAGCACAGGAAGGTGCAGGGATCCTTCCTGTGCTATACATTTGACTCTGAAGCCCCTGACTCTGCAAGCTGTGGAGACTGTGAGGGAACAGCATCTACCAGCTCTAACCAAAGACTCATGCACCTGGCCCCAAAGTGAGTCAGCCCAATTTGACCATCACAGCAGCAGCCAGAGCCCTGGGCCCCAGAGGGAACAGAGAGCCCTGCCTAAGGTCTTAACCTCTGGGGAGCCCATGTCTGGTGAGGGTGGAGGTAAGAAAGATGCTCATGTGTCTACCATAGGGTTCCTGTGGCAGGTGCTGAGAGTACCTGAAACACGCTGCAGGGTGCAGCGGGAGGTGAGCCAACAAGGCTTCTAGGAGTTTCTAGCATTAGAGCTTGGAATTAAAGTCTGGGCAGAAGGATTTCCATTGATGGGAAGTAGAGAGTGGGAAGGAACTAGTTTAAGATCAAGAGCTCGGGCTGGAGCCAGACAACCAAGTTTGAAGTTCAACTCTGCACTTCTTGGCTGGGCGTTTACCAACCTCTTTGAGCTTCAGCTTCCTCATCTGCAAAATGGGAATCAGCAAGTACCTACCTCACAGAATGCTGGGAGAGGTTAGAGAGGCAAACCACGTGATGGGTAAGGACCTGGCACATAGTAGGTGCTCAGTAAAAGTGAGCTCCCACCAACCTTATTGATTCAAAAAATATTTATGAGACACTGTACCAGAGTCTCTGGATGCACGCTGTTCTTGGCAGGCTAAGGTGGGCAGCAGCAGGGATGACACTGCTGTTGGAATCAGCCCTTGAGCACTCACCAGGAATGCCCTATTTAGAGGTGCCGCCTGCCCAGCTTTCCCACTTCCAGACCTGTTGGCCCTTAGATCACCCATCTTGCACCTGGATGCTCGGTCTAACTTTGACTCTACACAGTGACTTCCGGACGTGGAGGTGCCGATAGGACTTGCAGCACTGGAGTGCGAGTCGGTGGGTTCCCTCTGCTGAGTGACTCCACCTGCAGAGCAGGGGCGTGGAGGGGAGGGCTGGCTATACAACCCCTCCTGAGCCTTTTATGATGTAGCTAATCGTTAACTCCACTGAGCTGGATTTTCACAGATGGGAGCTGTCACCATTTATTATCTGTGGAGTGACCTTCAACAAGTAACTTAAATTTCCCGAGAATAAATTTGCTCATCTGTGAAGCAGCAATAACAATGGCACAGAATGCAAAGAGGAGCTGTGAGGATTAGAGGTGACAGTGGATGGAACAGGTGGGGAGCCCTTGGGAAAGCTGATTCCTGTTGTCCTGGTTGTCGGGAGCTTCCGGAGGGCAGAGGTCTGTCTACCTTGCACCTGCTGCTCTCGTCCCCCATCACCAACAGGTGCCCTGAACTGCCACGCTGGGCCAGCAAGCAACCATGGAGAATCTCGAAACAATTAAACAGCTCTCCTTTAATTGGACAATTAGAAGTATTCTAGGGAGAACAGTTTAAGCCATGCTGATCTTGGAATTAAACTTGCCCAAATTGAGAAGGTGGCTAATAACCTTCTAATTACTTCTTCTCTTGAGATTCAGGAATCGTAGGGGAATGGACCCAGGGGTCCAGCACAGAGCCCACAGTGTGGCCAGTTTCCAGATGATGTAAGCATCCCTGTGTGGCCAGAAGCCTCTTCCTGTAGGAAAGGCAGGACAAAGGCCGGCCCAAGCAAGTGGAATTTAGCAAGGACTGCCATTGTGGTCAGGATGGTCCTCATTGGTTCTCTTCTCTGGGGCAGAGGTCATAGGCTGGCATTTCAGGCTCAAAAAAATCAGCATCTGTTCCAGCCCAGGCTGGCTGTTCACAGCCAGGCCCCACCCTACCATCACTAGCCCTACCCTACCCATCTCGCTGGCATTATGGAACCTGAGTAAGTCACAGGGAACAGCCAGACTTTCTCCCTTCTGGCTGTGCCCAGAGGATATTTGGAATTATGCACAAGAGAGATTAAACACTCCTTCTCCCCTGGACATCCAGAGCCTGAGTACTGGACACTTTCCAGCCACCTCAGTGGTCACTCACCCAGCCACCCACCACCCTGTGCCAAGGAGCAGGGCTTAAATGGCAGCCCCTGCTCTCTCACAGACTCAACCCTTATTGCTCTCTGAAGTGAACACTTGCAAGACTCCTGCTTTGAAAGCAGCTTGGGCAAACTATCTCTTAGGGAGCTGTTTTCTAACCTGTGCATTGAAGGGGC